AGATTTTCCACTGTCATCTGTCTGTCCACCTGCATTTTGTGAGATTTATAAGGGAACATCACTGAAGCCAGCAAACAGACTTGTTGTAATGCACATGCCGATGGACCTCTGATTCTCAACTTAACTCTAACAAATCACATCTCGGAATCCTACAGATTCCTATTCCCAGTTTCTATTTCATATTCCATTTTATATTTCACCTCTCCATTTTAATTTATCAATAGCCCGACATCGGTAGCAAATATATTATCGGACTCCATTAGCTACTGACTGATAGATTACAACTTCCAACCACTCTGAGGAAGGACTAGATTGGACTCCTAACTAGTATATAAGTCTTAGAATTATATTGTAGATACTCAGTTCAAATATCAACTTGGTTCAGCCCAATATCTCTCTCTGACTCTAAGTCTAACTCTTATCCTCTTGTCCACAAAACTCCAATCCATTGGACTTATCTCTTACCTCATCTCTGACACTCCACAGACTTCTGTCCATATTCATCTTAGGGCTTCAGCTTAGGGGTGACGTTGCTAATAGCTTCGCCTACATCCGATGTATTCTGTGGCTTTCCACTACATGCAACTTCTGCTGCATTCCTATTGGCACGATCCTAACACTTGTTAATTTTCCATTAAACCAACACTGAATGAATAAGCTCATACAGCCATAGGCTCAACATCCTCATCCCTACTGCTGATCTTGTTGCACTCGAAATGCACTTAGCAAGAGGATTTTTCATCTGAATGTCATCTGAGATTTGTGGTGGAAATATAAGCAAGTCTTGAAAAAAAACTCTTAGGTAAGCTTGTGGAGAGCAGATGAGCTTGATCAAAGTGCAGGAAAAAATTCATGTTAGAAAAGTATGGCCACACCAAGTTATTATAAAGCACAGGTTGTGTTCTTGAACCAAGTGACTGAAACCAGTTGGGAGGCCAGACACTAAACAATCAACAGAAATTTAGCCTCCTTGTTTGGCTATATTTTCATCTCTCCCAGCTTGTTGGGCATCCAATCTTCTAATGGGTTTGGTTATCAAGTTACTCAGACTGGCAATCAGCTGCCACTGGAGACACCTAATATTCAGGGAGGAAATTTTAAGGTTTGTTTGGTTATCAGGCACTAAACAAATGATCAAAGTTGACACTACAGCCAAGTGCCACATCTGCTGTTCTTGATCAACTGATGCTCTGCTTGGTGGATCCTCACATAGCACATGATAGCATCCATAACATTGTACTCTTCTTTATCTCTTGCCAGTTGTCTCTTGCCCTTTCATTAAGTGCCTGAGTATATTGCATCTCCACCCCACCACCATCCCTTCATAAATAATAAAGTAAGCACAGAGAAACAAACCCCAACCAAGATGATATATTTGAACAGCAGTCCAGCATTGTGTCCACCTCAACTCTGCAAATAAGCTCTGAATATGTCATGCCAACAGCACAGACTGTCTTTTCAGTGGGCCTCAGCAATGATATTGCAGCAGATGATTCCACATTCTCTCACATCAAAGACCACCCTTTCTCAGACCTTGCTGCTTATTCATCCTTGGCTCCATCAGCTCCAATGTCCAATGTTGCCACAGATACCATTCTCTCTTCTCTATTCTCCTCAACCTGTCTCTTCAAGTCAGTCATCACTGTCCATCCTAGCAATCCCCAGGCTAGAAATTGATGATCAGGAAGAAAGATGTTTACAATAATGATGATGAAGGTTACAGTGGAGCAGAGGAGGATAGGCTTTCTGAAGAGGATGGGGCTTGGGAGGCCAACAATCCTGAAGAACCCCACCCAGATATGGAAGAGGAGGATATAGAAACCAACAACACTGCAATATCAATCCTTGCCAAATATGGTCTGCATGTCAATTCCACATACAGAGTTGTCATATGTGTGGACTGTCAGATCATCATTGTAATGCACTAACTTGGATTGTACAAGGCTTGTCTCCAATCTGTCACTCACATTCAGTGAGTCAGATTATGGAGGGTGTTGCAATTGCTGAGCTAAGTGATGTGACTTCTTAGTCATGGGACTTGGAGTTCAGATAACAGTTAGAGGTATATAACTTTAGCTGAAGCTGGGGCATAAGGCCACAGTGAGGCTCACTTAAATACACTTTTGGTATCTACTGTCCTAATGCATGGCTGTCTTCTAGGCTAACAACATTGGTATATGAGAAGAGTTCATGCAGGTAAGAAGACCAGTGTCCATATGGTGCTGTCTTTTGTAACTGTATGGCTTTGCCTCTGTGCTCCACTGGATGTGTCACAGTCAACCTTAAGAAGCATGATTGAATAAAGAGGGTCAGGCCCATAGAAGTATGATCAGATCTATTGGGCCATCAGATGAATCCATTGTATCATCAGATGGGTCTGATGGTGATGAGAGGTGAAGCCCCAGTGATGCAGTGTGACCAATGTGACCAAGTGGGTCATGAATGATGTGGATAAGGTATGAGGAGTGATGACAAGAGTCGAATGATGAGTTGATGAGATAAGATAAGATAAGGCAAAAAATAGGGATGAATTCATAACAACAGTACTATAGCTTCCACCCTTAACTGGGACATCAACTTTTTGACAAGACAAGTGCATTCACATCTTGAACAGTATGTCCTCAGCTTTACCATATTATATCCTAATCTAACTGCTGGCACAGAGCTGACTTGCACCCATTCAAGGCACCTAAGCTAGTCTCATCCCTCAAGCAAAATTCTGATGAAATGAGTCATCTCCTATGCTTCTTGCTCCAGTGCCTACACACACCAATGCCCTTATATCCAGTGGCTATACATCCTAACTTAACCAACCTGCTCTTGCAATTGCATCATCTTCTCAGTGATGATCAAATTCCCTTCAAGCACTTACAGGAGACTCTGCACAATATGCTATGGCCAGCCATGGCCTAGCCTTAAAGGGGTTGCTGACTCAGCCAGATATCAACGTCATTGATCGGCTGATAACATGACTTCACCATTGCCTTGTTCCACAATGAATGTTCCAACGTCTATCAGGTCTTTATTGTTTTACATCTACTACTATTTCTGACCATTCTACTCATTACTGCCTTTCGAACCCATTACGTCTGAATCATGCAACACTCTGGAGACCTGTATAAAAGCTGTCATTTCCTCTGGATTTGGTATCTTAACGATAGGCTCTTTGCTTCTGTCTGCTGACAGTAAGTCTTTGGCTCTCTTTCAATTTAGCTGCATTCTCACCTATTGCAGTCATTCAGCCATGACATGTCTTTCAACAAGGTAATGGACTCTTCCTGCATAGAGGGATATTTGCACCAACTGTCGTGCAGCAGAGGGCGCTTAGTGGTCAGTGTTCATATTCATCATCATTAAACCGGATCTGATTCTCTGTTCAGACTCAGTCTTAATGGATGAAATAAAGTATTGTGCCTGACAGGGTGTCCATAAAGGTAGATTGTTTCCATTCTATATTATTTGCTTACAGTTAAATTCTAATTGCAGTTGCACCTGAGTTTCATCCAACTCATCCCCCCATGCATGCATTGAATGGTTATGATGCAATCAACAATTTCTGATATGCATACTTCCTTCAAACCACCTCATGCTTCAATCTGGATGAAACTTCAGTTGGACTCTTAGTTCGTTGGTTTAGCTCTGCCAATGGCATCAGACGAGCGGACCTCTGACACCTGGAGAACAACTCTACTATCTGTGTCGCATGCAAATGTGCTTTCTCCCATGCCAGATACAACAGCCATATATGTTGTGGCATCTGCCGCAACTGGTACCTTCCTGTGTCAGGTATGCCTTTTGTGTTCTCTTGCTTCACTCTTGACTTACGTTTCTTCTTGTCAGTCCCGAGGCTACTGCCCATCCAAGTCAATACATGCAGACTGCTCCATCCGCCCTGGGTCAACGTTTAGGACCCAGTGTCTGTCGCCTAGCATCAATGGAATTTCAGCATTGGAGTTCCTCAAGACATTTTTGTGATGCTAAAAACAGGGTATATCTGTTGCAAGAGTTGTTGCATGCTTCACACGATGCCTGCACATTACGTGCATTTGATGTCCTGCAGATCTATAGGTATCTAGAATGATGTACACATTTTTTCTTGTTCCAATAATAAATTACTGTTACTTAAAAACACCTTTGTGAATTATGACATGCAGCGAATAACTACTTTCGATAATTTGCAATAACAATTAAGACTGACGCAGATCCATATTAATTCGACCCCTGGCAGCAGTTGGTACAGAGAACAATAGTAATGCATCGTGACAATCCTCACAAGAAGAAATGGTCACCTCCTGATGTTAATGACTATTTAGGCATGCACATTGTATTTTGCTTCACCGCTTATCTCATGGGGCTTAAAGGAAGAAGCTGTTGCTTTCAAAACAATAAAATCAATTCAATGGCCTCACCACAAGATCAATCTGCTCTTTCGCTCTAAATCCGAAGTGCTCTCAAAAAGAAAGAAAGAAAACTATGGAGGAAACTGCGAGGATTGAATGCTCGGCCTGAGGCTACTCCTCAGCCAAACAGCCAATATCAAATTTTCAATCAGTTAGATAAGGCGTTGCATGCTTTGTAATGCTGCCTTGATCTTGATCGTGGCTTTATCTGGCTTCTTTCTCCCAGACAATAACACATAACTTAGATGTGTCTCTTATTCATGATATACATAGCAACATGCGGAATGGTACATACAGACATATATCATTCTGCACCATCTTTTTTAGATTTTCCACTGACCAAAATCGGTGCAGGGGATCCATTTATGCATCCAGCTCACATACCTTACCATACGATTATTGCTAATTATGACACATCCACCAATCCCACCGTCGCAAATAGGGTCTTGTGAGAAACAAGGTACTCTGACACCCACCTTGCTCTCTTAGTCCACTGCCTCAACTCCGTACTGGGTGTCGAAAAATTCAAACTTGAAATAATCAAAAAATGCAGCAAGACCTGTGCAGCTTGCCTGTGCAACTTCTCTACAAACGGATATAATGGCCATCTTGATCTCTTCTGTGGAGAAGTATGCCGCAACTGGTATGAGCCTGTCCATGGTCTGCTCTACTTCCTTCTCAGCCCGCATTTTCAAATTTACCATCTACTTAGTCTCATACAAGGCAACCTCAGTCACTATTCCCTGCCTTCAACCCTTTCCACTGCATGTAGATCTCAATGATCCAGTTTTCGTTGCTTGGTCGGAATGGAATTCCAGGATTGGAGTACCACGAGATGTCTTTGCTGCCATTGAGACAGCGCATATTCGTTGTTGTGGGTGCCATCTTTATAGGGGATTTTCTGCGCATTATGCTCATATTAATGGCTGTTCAGGGATAAAAAGGCGCAGCCACTAGGTAAGCATATGTTTATTTGTCTTTGCAATGATCAGAGCTCACTGACTCTCACTGGTTCTTTCACAATCAACTCAGCCTCTCCCACTGTCAAACCTTGCTCAACTTCTACAACCACTGCTAAGCTTGCTCCTGCCTTCACTGTTCAAGTATCAAGCACCAATGGAGGCAACAAGGTGAGAGACAGTCAGCAACTTCTGTGTAGAAGGGCTCAATGTCTATCATAGATGTTAGTTAGAGTATACACAATGGAGATGATGTGGATTCATTTCGACACATACTTTGTGGATGAAGTGCAGGGTTTATTTGGTGCTTTGAACTACATCATCGACACTATACACGACAGTGTTGAAGGTCATCCTCACCTCTGCTGCATTGTCTGGTGAGTTATTGTTCCAACTGGTATGTATCTGCTGACTTCTCTTAGTAACTTAATAAGCAATGGTGATGACTGCAACATCATGATGTTGCTTAACCACAGAGGCCTCATTGGCTCCTTGTACTACTCATCCCCGCCAGGAGAAGCCATATTCGTTCCTGCAACTGCATCTGTTGTCATTAATATGCCTGAACGTCGTTTCATAGGCAACTTGTGCATGTTCTTTTCATGCTTGACATCTTCAAAGTGCTAACTCTTTACAACAGCTATGCTTAGCTATTATCTAGGTTAAATACATACTTGCTTCATTATAATGTATATATCCTTCATCTTACGTGAATCTATCCTCATATGACTACTGTCACTTGTCCTTTCATCTTGCCTTCATCGCCACTGCTCAACACGTGCCACTTATGGTACCAACGATTAAGCAGAATCGTGTTATTTAGATTAGATTAGCATTACAGAGTAAGATAGATAGTAGTCAGGCATGAGAGGAGATCAGAGAGACATACGTGCAACCTCAAAGGGAGTGATGCATGCTCTGATCAGAAGTGAGCGCAGTTCTCATCTCTCCACCATAATCTGTGCACGTCTCCACCCTGCACACACATGCACACAGCCTTCCTTCCTCCTTTCTCCCTCCTTCAGTTGCTCATCAAAGTGCTCCTCTACTTGCAAGATGTTGATTCAAGCTTGACGAACGACAAGTCTCCCTACCAAAATGGCATCAAACCTCCCGACTTGAACCCAGAACAAATCCAAATGCTTCGCAAACAGATACAAGAGAGCAAGGGTTGACCACAGATGTGGGACAGACTGAGAGGGTGTGGATGGAGACAGCAGGATGGAGGGCAGGGCAGAATGCAGGGAAGGTTGTTTTTGAGGGATAGGTTGTGAGTGTGAGGCCTGAGGGAGGATGCAAAAGCAGAGTTGTGGTGATGTTGAACATGTTGCAGAGGGCAGGTCAGAGCTTGGATGAGGTCTAAAAACCTGAGCAGGTGCGAACAACAGCAGTTTATGAGGGGATTGTATGTTTGACTCCTGGCCCTGTCAGCTCGAATGGTTCAGGTTCTTTGATCAGACCTTCGCCTGCAAGTGGTGCTCCCTGACCTCCCTCTCATGTCATAGATGAGGACTGATGAAAGTGTCGCTGACACTCTCATGGGGCTTGCAGCTGGTGCACCAGGCTTCTGAGTGTGAGATTCATCCAACGCACCTGTTCCTTCCCATTTGCCAGCGGTATCTACTTCAAGCCGGCACAGCGATCCTTCCTCTCATTCTCATCTTATGCATCGTGACTCTCTTTCATCTACACCCATGCCTCACCCCCTCTCCTTTCTGCCCCTCTGAAGCGACCCTTGAGCCCTGATGTTGACGAACTGTTGACGTAACCACAGTCTATCACAAACTTGATGCCTTCAGTAGTGACACTAGCCTACACATGAGCTAACTTCCCTCTTGAACATGAGGAAAGTGATTATTGCTTACTTTGGCTATATTGGTAGAGACAATGACCTTCCTAGTGCCTTGGTCAGCAGGTTTGAATGCACATAGTTGCTTGACAGTTGTCAAACCAGCATGCAACAAAAAGGGAACAAGCTGTAAGGTGCTTCGAGGACTAATGGTTTATGAGCATAAATGGCTACTTTGTGGCTGTTGCTCAATCGGCATCCTGCCGAGTCAGTGCCTCAGCCATGCATCCGCCGAGCTGCCAAACTGCCATGGCTGAGTTATGGTTCACCCAAAATTTGTCATGTTGGATACTGGGTTTCAAATACTCTCAAAATAGTCCCAAAATTATTGGTTCTGAATCCCCAGAAACTGGTCCTGATTCGTTAAATTTCGTTGGTGGTTCCGACAATGCTGAAACTTTTTGAGTAGGATTGTCCAACATTTATTCCCAAGACTCTCATTATGGACTAGCAGAAATGTGTTCTTTGGGGATTAGTTTGTCAGCCACCAAAAGAGGGTCGCATTTTTGAGTGTATCTAATGTTACTCAGAATTTTAAGCTTATAGATACAGTAAATTTGTAGCTAAATGCATCTCAGAATCTCACATTTATGGTCCAATTTAGAGACCTCAAAAATTGTCATATTCCCAGTGTGATTCCAAGTGGGACACCAAGTTGGGCAGATGTTGTCTTGCCAAGAGTTTCAGTGAAATCCTCAGTGTTTATGATATGCCCTTCTATGAGGAAAAGATGGCTGTTGTAATTGTTCGTGAGTTCTTTCTTCAGGATGTAGCCTGATATGTAGGCTGCTGTGGGATAGGTGAGGGTGATGAGCAGGACAACAAGGCAGGAGATATTGAATGATGGCGATCAGCATATAAGGAATCCATGCCCTGTATGGAGGCTGTCTTGACATAAGTCATAGCAATGGTGAACATTCCATTGGGCACAAAGAGGTGATGACTGTTCTCCATATTTGTATGCTGGATAACTTCCACCTTGGTTCCCTGAGCCCCTTTTCCTCACATTGCAGTGATAAGATAGTATCCTCTTCTTTATAAAAGATGTGTTACCGAATGGTTGAGTAAGTTTGAAGAGGGTGATATCCTTGGAGAGATGGTTCAAGAGATGAAATTAAATATCTTCCAAATCTGGCCCGAACATCATGAAACTGTTCAGAGGATTGAAGATGGTCAGTTGGTTCTGTAGTAGATTGTGTCAGATGTGCTCCTGATAGGCCCTACAGCAATCTCATGAGTGTGGTTTTTGACCTACATAGGGAGCCTCTTATCTATTGGAGTCATCTTCATACATGCTTTTTAGTAGCTTGATTTGGTGGCATCCTGTTGCTCTGAATGACCATTGTAAATGTGATAGTGTCAGTGGAATGAATCTCAGGAGAGAGAATTGTCCATAGGGAGTTTCTACATGAACAGCAACCAGATATCTGGTCAGAATGCAAGCCAGATCATCACAATGGAATTCCTCTGTCATAACACTGAGTAAATGCCAGGCCTAAAATTGGTTGAGATGTTACAGTGCACGTCATGCGAGGAGACAGCCAAGAAGTAGATTTGTTTGCTATGTAGGGGTATCTAACATGTATGAATTATATGTAGCCAAGGTTTTTTCTACAAAAAAAAACACAAGAACTAAGACCGGTGGGTCTGTCCTCTGCACCGCCTTAATATGACTAGAACCTGCCACTGGCAGCAGCAGTTCTTGAGTTTGGGCAGTCTTCGGCTTGACCCTTTGGGCCAAGTTCTTGCAAATAAGAAAAAACAATCGCTCTAAAGGCCATTCATTCTCAAAATCATCCAAGGGCTGCACAGCTAAGGCCTAATTACATGCAATAATGCGTTCAAGAGATGCCTTTGTTCCACTCATGGTGGCATTGTCATTCATGATAGTGCTTATGGAATGGCAAGAAGTCACTGTAGAGGGCTTTCACTGGCATGATCATGTTTTGCAGATGACTGACATTCACCCTGAATGGCTAGCAGACCTGGAACAGTCTTCCATTATGGACCGAGATCTTCCATGAGTCAGGGCTTTTATTGACATTTAAACGTCTGAATTGCTCTGGTTACTTTCCCACATTTTCCGGAGCTTCTGCTACACGTCCATCTACCTCAGTTGAGGTTGTATAACGAGTGCTCCCCTCTCCTTACCATTGGGACTGGAAAGAAGAGATTTACCAGATCAAAAGACAATTGATTTGCTGCGTTCGAAAGCAGCTGTGCCTTCTTTGTTGACAACAGATAGACCTGCTGCTGAAATAGATGCACTAAACGCAGATGCCATCAAGAAGAACACACTTCCTCAGGTTGAATGCATCAAGTTCCTGGAAAAGAAAGTAAAAGTGCCAAGGTCTTCTGGTAGGAGAAAGTAGATGGGTTCTTTGTCTGATGGGTGGCTGGTCGCGGAAAGTATGGGTTCTATTGGGCCTTGTATGGGCACTTACAGCAGCGGTATGATTCGTTTTGTAATGAATGGGATCTCTGCAAAGCACTTGCTCTCTCAGATTCTCCTGATGACAATGATGACTATAACAGTTATGGCTCCGACGACAACGATTTCTATCAGAAGCAAAGCAATATCTTGTTAGTCGACAAAGATCAGGAGCAAGCCAATCACAATGAAGAGCGGTTTTCATCAAAGATGGACCTTCAAAGAATGTACACAGACATTGTGGAGGACTGTAGTGAAGAGGTCTCGCTGCATGCTTATGAAGCAGTTGATGACATAGTTTACAGTCAATTCGGGTATAGTCCCATTGGTGAAGTCCCAGATTTGCCAAGCACTCCCCCATGGGACCGAGTATGCAAGTTTGTCAGGTTGGGATGGAATACTGGGATGTCAGATGCTTACAGGCCTCGCATTTGCAAGTTCTTCGGCATCTTGCAATCCACCAAAAGCATCCATGACATTCCTTCTGACAGCTATGACTTGAGACAGCCAGATGCAGATGTGATGCTTTCTTTCAAGTACCGTTTAGGGTGGAGGTTCTTGACTGGTGGAAGGCAGAATACAAGGGATCAGGAGTATTACTTGATTCATTCTGACAAGACAGAAGAAGTTCTTCTGTTAAGCAGTTCTGTGTCTACAATGCAAGTGTTATGCCATCAATGGGGTTGCAAATTAGGACAGTCAATTCACGATATCATATGTGAGCTTTTGGATAAGGACATCGCCTTCAACTTTGCCATTCCGGGATCCTGCTGCCAACCCAAGGCAGAACCAAATCCGATACATTCTCGTATCGTTGGTTACCAACCAAAGAACTACGTACCTGACCATCTTGATTTCATTGCATACGAGTGGCATCATAATGCCTTTCTTCAGTCTCCTTGAGGGAGAGCAGCATGTTTGATGGGTGGTATTGTTGGCCATCTGGCTCGCGGTGTGGTTCCATATGAAGAAGTGTATCATGATCCTTCGGAAGATGTCTTTGAAGACGGTATCATTTTTCAGGACTCAAAGCAGCCTTTGATGATGTTTTGGGATGATGGGTTGACAAGTGATGAGCTTGACCTAGTCTGCGGAGTATACCGAATTGATACTGGTAGGGTTATCTCTTATTACAGTATTCTGTGGTCTTAAATTCTTTTTCAGGACAACATGGGCAAGATAGTAACCAGATGAACATAATATCATGGTGGCCCAAGCCTTCAGCATGGGAGACTTTCGGTCTGTACATAGGATATTGGTCATCTGACTGTGAGGCATGGTTTCAACAGCGGCTCAATGACATTCATTTGGGGAAAGCAGATCTTCGGACACTTGCACAGTGGAAGCACTCATTGAAGTTTTTGAAACAGTGTAATAAGGTTGCTCAAGTGAATGAAAAATTAACAGCCGAATATCTACAAAATGTTCTGTAATAAATGTTTCTACGTTGTGCCTGTATCTATACTTTTCTTGTATCCATATGCTTGTATTGTATATACCAAATTCAAAAATGAAAGCTGCAAGCTGCATCTCTTCTCCAACTGAATCTCAGACACATGGGACTGTTTCTATTAGTTGCTGTTGCATATTACATAATCTACTCACTTTCAATGCTACCCCAAAGTGCTTCACGTTCTAACATGTCGCATTTTATTCTCAATGAAGACATCTCTTGTTTTTGCGCTCTGCATTCTAATGCACTGTGTCTTGTTCTCTGTATGGGTACTTCTTTCCCTCAGTCTTGATAAATAAGACGATTCAAACCATCACATTCATCTTTCCGAGTTGTCTTGTATCTGTGTTCAAACAGGATGAGGCCTCCATCAATTTATCCTTTGCTGCGTCAATAACTTGAGTCAACTTGCTGGGGATGAGAGCCTCAAAGCTCTGCCACTGCCTCCTTTTCCCAGATGGGCACACCATATCTAAACAGGATGAACTTGCCCACAAGCTAGACATTAAACGATGAACTGAGGTGGGTCTCATTCTTGATGATGGATCTTTGACTAACTCCAAAAAAACAATAGCTATTGAATTCCACAGCAGATTCCACCACTGCGGATATACATGCGGATGATACAATTGATGCTTCTGCTGATGAAGATCTTTCAGATTTTCTTGCAGTGTTGACCCTCACAGACGATGGACCTTCCAATGAATCATGGCCAAGTAAACTCTGGATATCATCTAGTGCATTAAGTGCAGCCAGAACAATGCAGTATCCAGATGGAAAGAATTCCATTAATCAAGAGGACGCTTAACTCAGCATCAACAGACTCCTATCGAAAGCACTCGTAGTGCCATCTACACCTCCTTCCATCTCCAGTGGAGGTATGACGCTTCCATCTAGCCCTCCCGAAGCACCTCATTCAAGAGTTATACCTTGGCAATGGTCTGCTCTTCCCTGCCCGTCAGTTCACACATGCTCAAAGCTGACTAAGCCAGATCATCCACATGCTGTCATCAGAAAAGATATACAAAAGATGAGCAAGGCTGAGAAAAAGGTTGAGAAGCTGGAGACAGAGCTAGGTCGGTTGCTGGAGTCAATGGAACATGTCGACTTCGATGATGGAGTCGAAGTCAATGATATGTGCTGTCTCCTTGATGACAAGGCCCACTTGATTGGAGACCTTTATAGCTTTGTTATCTCCATAAAAGCGGAGAGAAGCGATATGCTTCCTCTTAGAACCCAACTTATTGAACACCTCCGAAGCATGGAGTTGCAAATCACTGTCATTGGTACCCAGTTACCCACACCTGCAGGTCTGGTCATGTATGATGCTGGTTAGTCTCTCTAGGAGTTGTATCTTTGATTCTATACTCATGTTACCATTCTAGGACATATATATGATGATGGAATAGACAATCTTAACCTCATAGCACAGCTCATGATTCTTCTGGGGGTCGTATGCAATATTGTCATGCAAATCTCAAAAGGGGGCTGCAACTTCATTCTTGGAGTCGCTGGACTCATTTCATGACTTTCCATGCTGACTGGGCCGGCACCATCAATAGAAGAAGAGTTCAATCCTTTGCAGGAAAATGTCCTTAAAAACCTCCCAACCAGCCTTTATTCTGCTTTAAAGACATTAAACATGGACGGAAAAACTACAGTCTATGCTGTCTGTCCATCCTGCAACTTCTGCTATGAATCCAAACATAATCAGACCCTCTGCATGCCCATTTATCCCTCCCGCTGTACCAACCATATTTCTGGCATCAATCATCTCGAAGTCTGTGATGCAGAGCTACTGGAAGAATGTCAGGGATCTCTTCAGCTACTAAAATTTTTTCTCATGGCCTCCCTTCCTGACTTCATCGCCCAGTCACTTGCAGATCCAATGATAGAGAGATTGTGCCACGAAGCCTGTAATAATGCCATGGCTCACCTTGATGATCCTGTAGATCGCACAATGATCAACATCTTTGATGGAGAATTTATGAAAACATTCCAAGGGCCTGTACCAGGAAAGTTGTTCATTGATAGAGGTGAAAAGGTCCGCATCGCCTATGCTATGCAAGTCGATTTTTACAACCCAAACAGCATATGCAAACGTGGCAATCACGACTTGATTGGTTTGATTTCCATGGCTAATCTGAACATCCCAGAAAGCATTCAATATAAACCCAAGAATATCTTCATAGCTGGCATTACACCTGGACTGAAGGAGCCCAACTATGAGCAAATACCTCGCTTGATGGCTCCTCTTATGGACATATGTGTGGAAGCTTGGCATCGGGGCCTTTACATATCAAGGACAGTGTCTTGTCCACAAGGCCGACTTACTGAGTATGCTGTGGTCCTCTCCATCAATGACCTTCCTGCCATGTGCCGAGTTTCTGGAAATGGGGCTCACAAGACTTCCTGGTGTACCGTTTGTCAACAGGACATGCAGTCATATCGTACCTGCTTCCATGAATGGAAAAGAAGAGATGTAGCTGAGATGCGGAAGCAGACAGAGGCTTGGCGTGATGCTACGACCTGCAAAGCTAGGGAGACTATCTTCAAAAAATATGGTGTTCATTGGTCTGAGTTCTGGAGGCTTCCCTATTGGGATCCAACCTGGATGCTGGTCATTGACTCTATGCATTGCATCCTGGAGGGTTTAGTTCACTATCATTGCCACTATGTTCTGGCAATTGATAAGGATGCTGCGAAGAAGCTGTGCAAGCCGTCTCCTGCATTTCTCTACAAATGGGTCCCATACGATCACAGAGTCTTACTGGAGCCCATCAATGACTTGAGCGAAGACCAAGAGAAAGATATCAGTGACATCCATCATATTTTAGAACTACTGTTAGCTGGGGATGGGTCAATTATGGTAGATACTCTCAGGAAAAGACTATTAGGAAAAAGTTGGGCCTCTCTCATGTTCGTTTGTGCAATGGTCGGCTACAGAGAAATAGTTGATCACACGGCTGCAGATGTAGCTGAAATTGCTATAGACAAAGCGGATTTTGTGGACCGCCTGATCCAGTGGGTATGTAGTACATATGTAGCTTTTGGAGCATTACTGACGATGCTCTTACATCAGCATCTTCAATGAGACGAAGTTGAAACAAGTAATCCTCGCCTGAGACCTGTCGATCTCAACACTCTGGCATACATCCAATGCGTCATCAAAGAAACAGTGACACCTTCTTGAATAAACTCTGTTCTGGCAAAATACAGTGAAGACAGTGCTGGTACAATCAAAGCGGATGAATGGTGAACATTTAGCACCGTTTTTCTTCCTTTGGCTTTGGTAACACTCTGGAGGGATGATAATGGTCAAGAGCCAGATGCAGGTTTCTATTTGTTGCAAGTGTTAGATCACACCATGGTGCTCTTTCAGGCCATTATCATTATGTGCAAATATACAATGACTGTTCACCACGCAATCCTGTACTGCGAATTCATGAAGAAGTGGGCTGACAGACTTTTTGAAATACATCCACATACAAAAGCTCAAAACAGCAAGCCGAACATCCATGCCTCATTCCACCTATATGACTTCCTACTCCTTTTTGAACCAGTATATTCATGGTGGACCTTCCCTTTTGAGCGATTGATCGGTATGTTGCAAAAAATCAACACCAACGACCATGTTAGCAGTGAGCCCATGACCTTATTGTAGTTATTGTCATTAGTTAATTAATCTTGATTGTAGGAGCACTGGAGGCTATGGTTTTACAGTCATTCATGAAAGGTGCAAACCTTCAATGGTGGCTCAATTTGCCTGACTGCCTGGACGTCATCATGGAGTTCAAGACTCTGTTCAACTGGGCTTTCTCGACAGATACTTCTCCGCATAATTTGAATGTGGAGCCACCCATGTCCCAACAGTCAAATCATGCCCACTACTTCTTTGACCGCTACAATTTCTCCCATGAATGCACTCATGTCAGGAATAGTCTCGTTCTCTATTACCTTACTGTTAAGTCTACAACTGCCATAGCCAGAAGCATTCAAAAGATCACCACTGAAGGTGATTAAGTTCATTTTCATATTAGATGCCAAGCTCCTCTCCCTCCTTCGAAATATGACCCCTTCCATCGATATCCATCATTTCCTGCCCACATTTATTCTTTCAGGATGAGCGATGACCCCTTTGACAAAGTCAGTCTGTCTTTGGTAGTTTCTCATGTTGCTTGGTTCGAGTTTTTACATGAGCATGCTGTAATTCTGAATTTATTGAAGGTATGTCTCATGTCATTGCCTCTTAGCTTTTGTTGATGCCATTTTAGCTTTAATAATGATACTATATTCAGGTGGTCAATGTCTTTACACTGCTCTCGAGATAAATCACATTTATTTGTAGCTATATAATTCACCTGTAGCTGCTACTTTGATACATCAAACACTGTTAGTTGACAGTTAATTGTGATACATCAGAAGTGTCAGTTTACATCCAGCCCATATACAGTAATTCCATCAGGATGACAAAGTGGCTTAGTAAGCTTCCCAATCTGTGTCAATGATGGCATCATTAGAAAAGAGGGTAATCCGGGGAATTGAACCCAGGACCTCAAAAATAAATCCAATAACATCCCATGACTTTCTCAAGCAACATGCTAACCACTACACCATACTGGCATTATATATATATCTTTTCATCTCTATATATACCCTCCCTCTCTTAACATTTATGACCTCATATTGATGCCCTCCCTTTGCTCCGCTCTGGTGCGCTCTTTTGCCTTTTTAGGCTCCCCAAATCAGCCCATCAATTTTGGCTGGATCCAGTGGCAGTGCCGCATTTTTAATACCCAAAATAGGGGCTATTTTCCGGTCAAAATAGCTATTGGGCTATTCTCAGGCTACTGGCTGGGCCAGGGGATAGCACTATAATCTGTATAGACATAAACAACATAAAATAGAGCCCTCTAATGATGCATAGGAGCCCTGGATAGTGGGATAAAAGGGTGATATAATGAAAATCGCATAAATATTCGCTTTTGGGGGCTGCTGCATGCATTGGATCGGCTGGAGGACTTCACCAATCAATTCCCTGACCTTGAAAACACCCAAACGACCCCTCCACAGTACTTTTGGCACACTTTATTCCTGGAGATAAACGAAAATATTCGCTTTTCAGGGTGCAGCATGCTCCAGATTGCTTTTAAAACATTACCAGTCGATTCCTATGCTATAAAAACCTTAGAATACATCCTCCTTCGTAATATAGGTCCAGTATAATACAGTATAAAAGGGGGTATTAGGGGGCATACATCGCTTATTTTGTTTTTCGCACTTCGGATGGCTTGGGGAGCATCACCAATGGATTCCCTGATATTAAAAACCCCAAAACGACTCCAACCTTCATTTATAGGGTCTCAAAAACGACAGAAATAATGATATTACAGTTTAGGAGGAGCACATGTAATAAATCCTATTTCTGGGCTTCGGACCACTTCGGAGTTTTGTCTATTGTGTTTATTGACCTGAATAACACTCAAATGACCCCACAGGACAAAGGAAACCATCAGAAATACGTGATAAAAAGAGTAATAGGGGGATGGAGAAGACATACCTTATATTTCGCATTTCTAATAGTTAGGGAGGGTATTCTTGTTATATAACAGACTGTATATATTGTACAATGGTGTGTACGAAGCCCCATGGATATCCGAAATGTATTGAATGAGATATGAGCAGATCATTCTGTAAAACAGGAGGAGCACATCCCATATTTTGATGTTCTGCTCATTCTATGGCCTGGGGACTATCAGAATCGGATTCCTTGACCCAAAAAACAGTAGGGCCACCTATCATCCATGGTATTCAGATGTTCAAACTCCGAAGTACAAGATGTTCTCTCATTTGTTACTTATATTGTCCTCTAGCTACATATGGCTGTATGTGTTATCTGGGTAAAATGGCTCCTATGGATGATAGGTGGCCCTACTGTTTTTTGGGTCAAGGAATCCGATTCTGATAGTCCCCAGGCCATAGAATGAGCAGAACATCAAAATATGGGATGTGCTCCTCCTGTTTTACAGAATGATCTGCTCATATCTCATTCAATACATTTCGGATATCCATGGGGCTTCGTACACACCATTGTACAATATATACAGTCTGTTATATAACAAGAATACCCTCCCTAACTATTAGAAATGCGAAATATAAGGTATGTCTTCCTCCATCCCCCTATTACTCTTTTTATCACGTATTTCTGATGGTTTCCTTTGTCCTGTGGGGTCATTTGAGTGTTATTCAGGTCAATAAACACAATAGACAAAACTCCGAAGTGGTCCGAAGCCCAGAAATAGGATTTATTACATGTGCTCCTCCTAAACTGTAATATCATTATTTCTGTCGTTTTTGAGACCCTATAAATGAAGGTTGGAGTCGTTTTGGGGTTTTTAATATCAGGGAATCCATTGGTGATGCTCCCCAGGCCATCCGAAGTGCGAAAAACAAAATAAGCGATGTATGCCCCCTAATACCCCCTTTTATACTGTATTATACTGGACCTATATTACGAAGGAGGATGTATTCTAAGGTTTTTATAGCATAGGAATCGACTGGTAATGTTTTAAAAGCAATCTGGAGCATGCTGCACCCTGAAAAAGCGAATATTTTCGTTTATCTCCAGGAATAAAGTGTGCCAAAAGTACTGTGGAGGGGTCGTTTGGGTGTTTTCAAGGTCAGGGAATTGATTGGTGAAGTCCTCCAGCCGATCCAATGCATGCAGCAGCCCCCAAAAGCGAATATTTATGCGATTTTCATTATATCACCCTTTTATCCCACTATCCAGGGCTCCTATGCATCATTAGAGGGCTCTATTTTATGTTGTTTATGTCTATACAGATTATAGTGCTATCCCCTGGCCCAGCCAGTAGCCTGAGAATAGCCCAATAGCTATTTTGACCGGAAAATAGCCCCTATTTTGGGTATTAAAAATGCGGCACTGCCACTGGATCCAGCCAAAATTGATGGGCTGATTTGGGGAGCCTAAAAAGGCAAAAGAGCGCACCAGAGCGGAGCAAAGGGAGGGCATCAATATGAGGTCATAAATGTTAAGAGAGGGAGGGTATATATAGAGATGAAAAGATATATATATAATGCCAGTATGGTGTAGTGGTTAGCATGTTTGCTTGAGAAAGTCATGGGATGTTATTGGATTTATTTTTGAGGTCCTGGGTTCAATTCCCCGGATTACCCTCTTTTCTAATGATGCCATCATTGACACAGATTGGGAAGCTTACTAAGCCACTTTGTCATCCTGATGGAATTACTGTATATGGGCTGGATGTAAACTGACACTTCTGATGTATCACAATTAACTGTCAACTCACACCTTTCAAACGGAAATCTAGCAGACTAGGCTGTATAATTAACTAGTCCACAGTTTCGACCTCTGTCCTGAAATCCAGCCCTTTAGCCTATTTTCATGTGTAAAACATTTTGATCTTACTGTTGATTTTTTTACCTCCAAAATTCACATTGACATATTGCTCAGTGCAGCGTATTATTTCTCTGTCGGTGCCGTCTTCAATGAGAGTCAGGCCAGATATTCCATAGCAGCAACACCCATCTAAACCACCCCCCATGCCTTGGTCACCCATCTTCCTTCAATAATTCGCTCTGGGATCCTCACGCATCTGTTCGAGCCATCACTGACCTCTCTGATGGTCACGCATATTCTAGATATGAGTTATTCCACTTCCTCTCTTCAATAATATGATGCATTGAAACTTTCAAGTTGCCTTGGCCAGCACGTGATCACAACATCATGTGGCTAAGCATTTAGCATAAGTTTATTTGTCTTTGCAATGATCAGAGCTCACTGACTCTCACTGGTCCTTCTCTCTGTTCTCTGACCATCAGCTCAGCCTCTCTCTCACTGTGAAACCTGGCTCAACTTTGACAACCACTACTCTTACTCTTGCCCTCACTCTTCAAGTATCAAGCACAGGCTAAGGCAACAAGGTGAGAGACAGACAGCAACTTTGGTGTAGAAGAGCTCAATGTCTATCAAGATGTTAATCAGAGTATACACAATGGAGACGATGTGGATTCCTTTCAACATGTACTTCGTGGATGAAGTGCAGGATCTATTTGGTGCTTTGAACTACATCATCAACACTATACGCAACAGTGTTGAAGGCCGTCCTCACCTCTACTGCATCGTGTGGTGAGTTCTTGTTCCAACTGGTATGCATATCTGCTAACTTCCTCTTAGGAACTTAATCAGCGATGGTGATCACTGCAATGTCGTTAGGTTCTTTAACCATGGAGCCCACATTGGCTCTTTGTACTACTCATCCATGCCAGGAGAAGCCGAGTTTGTTCCTGTGACTGCACCTGCTGTCATCAATATGCCTGAACATCGTTTCATAGGCATCTTGTGTGTATTATCTTCATGCTAGACTTCTTCAGAGCACTGACTCTTTGCAATAGCTACACTTAAGCTGTCTCAGTCAAATATTGCGTACTTGCCTCATTATTATATATATATCCTTCCACTTACACATACCCTCATATGATTACTTTTTTGATACAAAATGAACGTCACTTGAACTTTTTGTCTCGCCACCACTACCTGCCATTGACTGCTTCCTTCACCTATTCAAGCGAATGCTGCATGTAATGTTGTTGAATCTGAAAGAGATCATTCGCTCGTGTGCCCATGAATGTGGTCGCACACATGACAACCTCTGATTAGCTGATGAGCACACAAATGACTGAGAATATTGCTGGCTTCTGTTGTTATGGCATACTAGGCATTATTTATGAACTCGTAAGTCACTAACACTGTCTGAGTATACCTGCTATGTTGTAGAAAGTGACTTCGAGGGAGTTGTTCAGAATAATTTTCTTGAAACAGTGAACTCATTTGCTTAGCCTAGCTTGGTTGGTAGTGAGGTTCCTGCAGTCTCAGAGTAGGATACTTCAAGTGCATGCAGAAAGACATTGAGTTCGATGCGGTTCAAGTGATGATGGTGATTTGGTTGCTGGTGCATACGTGAGTACCAGGCACGATGCAGCAAAGCATTAGGTTTGCCCAATTGGCATTGTGCTAAATCTTTACCACAGCCATGCATCTGCTGAGCCGCTGACATGCCGTAGCTGAGTTATAGTCTTCCCAAAATCATTTGTGTTAAATACTAGATTTCGAATACAGCAAAATCAGTCCCAAAATCATTGGTTTTGGGTCCCCAGAAACTAGTCCCTGTTCATTAAATTTCATTGTTGGTTCAGATGACACTGAAACTTTTTAAGTAGGTTTGGCCAAGATCAAATAATGTGTCATTGAAATAGGTCAATGACTGATGGCTGGGGCTATAGCATACATACATACCCATCTAACCTCTCACTGTGAACATGCAGAGCACACCTCCATTCAGACACATCATGAATCTCAACCACCCATCCAAGTCCACTCCAATCTTTTTCAGGACATAAAATCTCTCTTACCCCCAGACAGTTGAAGGTTCTGATCACTGCAATAGGCAGAACTGGTTCAGATGACCACTACTCTGGACCATGTACTTGCCATTTTGCCAACAGGAAGTGAGAAAAGTTTAGCCTTCTTCTCAGCACATCTACCTCTCATCATGCTACTGACAAAGTTTCAAACTGTTCTACAGACTGACAGAGCTAGGCAAGCCTTTCACCTTCCTGTCAGCAATCATGCTTTCACAATCTATCCCTCTCCTGTATCAGGCCATGCATATTGATCAATGCATACTGTGAGTCATAAGAGGATCCACTGCATGTTCCAACATCTCTTAGTCTATCAAGTTCCACCTAAGAAAGACATGAATGTTAAACTTGTAGAGTATATTAATCACATCAAGCTGGGACCCAAAGACCATGGAATAATTTACACTCACACAATTGCTGATGCTCAACAGCTGGCAAAGCACCTATCCTGTGATTTCTACATCTCCAAGATCAACAAAAATCCAGAGAAGAATGTGACAGAAAAAAGGCATCAAATTGAAGCTTGGAAAGTGAGTGAAGAACCCAGTAACTGTTGGATAGTGGGAACACAGTGTCTTGGGGAAAGCATAGACATGCCCAACATCCATGTCACAGTCCACTATAATGTGACACATATTGTTGGTGTCACACAGGAGACAGGGCAAAGCAGACAAGATGGCAGGATTTTATATTTGATGATCTTTTGGAATGAACTTCCCTGGGTGAACAAGCACCAGTTCAATCATCAGCAGCATGAAGATCATACCATTAACTACCCCATGATTGAGGGTAATATTCTGAAACCCATGACTGAGAAGGACCAATTCTACAACAACATTGAGGCAGACCAAACTCATTACAGAATTACTGAACTATGCTTGTATCTTGTGAAGCCACATCAGTGCCACTGTATCAGGTTACACAGGCCACTAGATGGGATCACATACTGTTGCACAGCACTAGGAGGAGTGTTATGTGATAATTGTGTCAAGGCAAGCTGCTTGTCTTTAAGAATACTAAAAAAGATCTCACATATGTGCTAGTATTGTACACTTACCACAATGCTCCAGGATCCAAACCTACAAACTCCTTTTCTTCTCTCTGATGACCAGCAGAAGATGGGTCATCAATTCCAGCTGGCAAAACTTGGAAATATCCAGACTATGTTAGGCATTCTACCCCAACTGGAGAATGTGTCAACTAGAGCAGACCATGTAAAGCAGAAATACAAGAATGTTGCACTGTACAAGAAGGACCTGCTAACTGCTATACATTGCCTTGTATCAGTCAGCTGGGTAAGCCACTTCATGAAGCCACTCACCTAGCCACTCCTCTTGCTGGCAATTTTTGCTCATATTCTGCCCATGGGCAAAGGTCATCCAGTGTGGAGTGCTGCAACTGAAGCAGCACACTGTCCAAAATGACATACCCTTTCAAAATTGCTCAAACTCACTGCCTCTGAAAGCAGTTTGAAGCCTCTCCTTTGCAGGCAGGATACCACATAGAATAAGCAAGGTGGGCCAGAGGGACTAGAGCCTGTGACACTGCTTGTAGTGAGGATTGGAGGCAGGAAAGTTGAATAGAGAACATGGTTATTGCTGCAGGTATTATCTTCAGCAGGCTGAATGAGAGAATGGTGGAGAAAAGTCAAGCTGTGTTTCTTTGCATTTATGGGGAGAGGAGATGAGGAGGATAAAACTGTACACATCTGGGATGAGGGAAAACTTAGCATGGGTGTGTCAATAACATCAAAGTCATCAAAATTGTCTAGCAATGAGGTTCATATAGTTTTCAGCTTTTTTTGAGCTGATTCAGAAATGTTGCTCTCATCTGTTTCAGAGATGTGAGTTTGGCACTTTTTTGACATATATTGTTTTATTTCCCACCATGTCAAATATTAGGACTATTTGTCAAAGTAAACATATATAACTCATCAGACATGTGAAAAGATGCTCATTGAGAGCCACACCATATCCAAGGAACAAGCATGCCAGGTTGGGATAAATATATCCCTTGGACATCAAAACAATAGTGAACATTTACTCTACTATAAATGTCAGAATAAACTCCCACACAACTGCACAGGACAACTCACCAGAAACACTGTAATAAATTTTTTCATCCTCATTGTATACACCAAGGTGGCACTCTTGAGCATCTTGACTGTCAAATCTCTTGGAGCACTCAAAGATACATATCCAGCTTGACATTATAAAGAATGGTGAGAAAAAACTAAGAGGCAAATTGTCAGTCACAGTCTATGTCCTAAAAAAAAGAACCTAATTTAAACAATCCTAGAATAAAAAGTGAAAAAGAATGCCCAAGTCACTCTATATATATTCTTTCTCTCAAATTTTTGGGTCTAGAGAGGAATATCTTTAGGGAGCTATGAGTTAGGGTTATAAATGTGGTTGCTCAATCTTGATCATCTGCTGAACATGTTAGAGATCACCACGGGTCACCTATGAGTGCTAAAGAGGAGACTCGCACTCTTACCCAGTCTTACCCTTACCCTTTTCATGGATATAGGTTTCATCCAGGTATTGGCAGATTGGGTATACCTAAATTGAATAGCAGTTCAACCTACTAGCTAACAAGATTATATACTCTCTGTATCAGATTCAATGATGTTCCAGCTGTCCAGCATTAGGAAATCTCCATCTTTGCCCTCATCTTCGGAGACCTCAGGAAGAGAGACTGCTGTAAGAATGTCATCATTGTGGATGTAACCATGAAGGTTCCATTGTCCAAGGCAAAGAAGAGCTGAGGTACTTTGCATGTTGAGACAATTGTGGATATGCAAAAGGAGAATTCGACCATGACTAAAGACATGCTCTACATCCACTGATATTGCTAAAAGCAGGAATATGAGCCAGGAGAAATATTTAGATGGATAGATGAACCTGGAATTAATAGATAATCCAACCCCATACATGACAGATGAGAATACATTGCACAGTGTTTGTTCCACCATGCTAAAGCATCTTCCACAGCCTCTGAATCTGTGGAGAGATAGCATTCAAGCTCATCTTGAGTAGACATGGTCACTGTTAACATTGGAAGAGCATCAAAGATATTGTTTTAGCTTGTGTCAGAGTATTCTTTAAACTACCATTCAATAATGCACTGATACCAAAGGAGCTGCCTCATTGACTTCATTTTGGTCATGCTTCTCTAGAATCACCTGAATTTTGTACTTGCACTCATATTCAGCTTGAATGATCTCATGTGCTGTGTTGATCCAGTTGGGGGTCCATCCAACCTTGTGAAAATATGCCAGTTTATTGTAGGGATAAAGAACTTGATGGAACAATGAAACAGAGCCATGCTGAAGATAACAAAGACATACCCATGACTATGTGATACACCTCTGAATAATCTGTGACATTGTAATATCAGTTTAATGTTTTCTTTGCCATTCCAATGCTAGCTCATATCACAGGATCATAAAGAGGATTGATTGAGTTGTAAAGACAGAGTCAATGTGATCCATAGCTGGGATCACAGTCACAAGGCTGGGCATGGAGTGAGAAAAGAAAAGAGTAGCATCTTTGAGAATCTGATGGTACCAGTTAGAATGTTACTGGCAATTGGGAGGGGGGGAGCATCTTCCACTCCTTCAATGACAGCCTGAATTCTGGTACCACTCGATCTCCAATCTCTTCATCATCACTTGTTATCTGCTTCACAGCTTTCTTATACTCCAAAGCCATTGCCAACATGTCATATGTCGAACTCCAGCGAGTTGCCATGTCATGTGATAGCATTCTTTGCTTCAACTTTAGCTTATCAAGAATCACATACTATGCAGAAAGAAGTATGGTTAAGGAGTTGATTATTTTAAAAGAGAGTTTATAAAGCTGGAAGAGTATAAATCAGTAGTTGTGGCCATCGTATTGCCCACTATCTTGACACAAAAGATGCACAGTCCACAAGCAACTTAAGAAAGCATGCTTGAAAATGCTGAGGGGAGAACATTGTTAAGAAGGTTGATGAGGCTAGTAATGTTAGGATGGCATAGTCATTACTGAAGGGCATCAGATCAGATAAGCAGAATAGGTCTATTACTGCTCATTTTGCACATCAGGGCAAGGGTCGTGTCACATACTCAAATTGCCAACACATGAAGAGTGAGGCATGGTATGTCATGCTGATCTAAACATATAGTAAACAGACTAATAATTTTATTAGTGCTGAACACATATGTTGGATTTCTGAAAGTTCAAGGCCATTCACTATTATGAAGGATTATGGATACAATTGTTTGATGAAGATGGGTCAGCTAAGCTGCTATATCTTCAGTCCTAACACAGTTGCTTGTGATGTTAAGACTGTCTTTGAGCATATATGTCAGCATATTTCCAATATGCTGCAGGTTTGTTTCTTATTGATAGCTCAATAAATACATTAATAAAGCCATACCAGAGCTATAATGGTGACTTGCACTTCGCTATGGATGCTTGGACTTCACTAAATCACCACCCATATATCATGGTTACTGTACACTTTGAAGAGAATGGGAAACCTGTCAGTCTTCTATCAGACATCATTGAGGTTGCAAAGGTATGTACCACTTCAGTCTGACCATCACTTATCTTTTAACTGCATAATAGAATCATACCAGGCAGAATCTCACTGATGAGTTCTTCAGAATCTTAGAAGATTTCAAGCTAACAGATAAGGTCAGCCCTCACATTGAGTCTAGAGGCTGAAGCACACTCACAATGGCTTGAACAGTTACTCTCTATGACATGTGACAATGTGAGCAACAATGACACAATGATTGATGCCATTGCTGATATTATTGAATGCTTCCCTGGTGAAGCAAACCATACATGATGCTTTGCACATATCATGAATCTTGTTGCAAAGTCGATGTTAAAACAACTTGATGTTGCAAAGGGAAAGGATAATGCAGCAATAAGCAAAGCAGAAAAGGCTCGTGTTGCAGTGAGTAATCTGTGCATTATTGTAGAATGTAAAATATACAAAGCTTGACTTCATCTGAGATCTCCTCCATGTCTTTGTCATCAACTTGCTCTTCATCCTCATCGTCAGAGTCTGCAGACACATCTATGAGTTCCAGAAGATCCTCATTATTGACCTGACTGCCATTACCATCTGCCATCTGAGAACCTGAGAGATGATCCAGTGGTGTTGAATCTTGATGCACAGTGTGACCAACCACATTGTTCCTAGGACAGATTACAATTGTAGGCCCACCAATGCATTGTAACTCTGTAATGTTTCCATCATGGTCTTTAGTAATCAATACCTTTGGCAAGAGTGTGAGCATCATCTTCTTCCTCTGTCATCATGGTTGTATAACCTCTTTTGGTAGCTGGTGCTGGGGCCAAGTCTGCAGGATTCATAGTTGGAGAAATAGTAGAAGGTGCAGCCTTGGTCACATGCTATCACCCTGCATTCTTCTTCTGTGATTTTGTTTTTTTGATCAGTGATGGAGTGGCCTCAGTTGCCTGAGCTTCACTTTCCTTGCTCTGTTTGGTTCAGACATGCTGTCACTTGTCAAGACTGGAAGATTCAGTGATGTCGAACATATTTTCAGTGGGAAAGAGTAGTCTTTTTTGAGATATTTGTGTGTGCTACTTGTGAAAAATGAATTTCATGTTGAAACTGTACAGTTTTCTTTGGCCTGATGTCTAAAATTTCAGGAAATTGCATAAGGGTACCAGCAGGTTGAATGGGTAGGAGCAGGTCAAATTATCTGAGCCCAAACCTGGACCCTGTGGGTAAGGGTCTGGTACCTGGACAAATCTGCTGTACCCTTGGTTTTCTCTACTGATGAGCATCAGGAAGGTAAGAAGAATGGTATGTTTCAAATAATTGAATGCTTGTTGACACTCATTAGACCAGAATATCCACCCCCACAGAAGAGCACCTTAGCTACTTTCTCCTCACCCCCATGGCCTCACAAGATGAGACAGATGAAGGGTTAGATCTGGAGGAGAACAGAGTAGATAATGTGTCACAATATTATTGTTCATCTGAGTACAATAGCTTAAAAGCATATGAACTCTTTATTTTTATCTGAAACTGACATTATATGCTCATATTTATTATTTTCTTTATTCAACAACACTGTAGGGATAGGCCTGAAAATAGTCAACCATTGGAGCAAGCTATATTGTGTGTGAGCTATATACATAATATAAAAAAGAGCATATCTTGACAGCATTTCATGGTCAGGTGGAAACACAGTCATGCAATTGGTCATGCAATCAGCCATATTGCAAGGAGCCAGCCAGAACTCTCAGAACAAGGGTGCTTGAGTCTGTCAGGACAAGTCCTTGCTTGCCAGCAACATGGTTTTCATTGATTTGTAGTCTTTCTCTATATAACACATTGACAATGGCATCTTTGAGTTTATAAGAGAGAGGTAGAGGAAGGTATTCACAACCAAAGAGAGGAAATAATTCCACCTGCTTCACAGAAAATTTTTAGAAAGATATCTATCAATGAGAGTGTATGCAGAGAAAACTCAGAAATATCACTGCAGAAGGCTCTACAACAGACATAGCAATAAGGATGGCAAACCTTTATTCTATTGTATGGTCTATAAGCCTCTGTAGTGATCAACCAATGCAGAAGATCAGTCAAAATGAAATCACATGACTGATACCACAGCTTACATCCTTCCACATCACATACTGCTAGAACAATTCTGAAAGCATACAATGCAAAGACTGGACTTTTACTCCAAGAGCTTCTAGACTGTCATTGAGGATGCTCTTACAAGACTTGACAACTTTCCACTGCTCTCAGAAGATGCAGATGAAGAATCAGTCACCCTCTATTCTAAAATACACAAATTTCTCACAAAGAAAGTATCTGACATCATCAACCATCTTGATCTGATTGCCCTCTATGAGAACCAGGAGATGTCAGACATTGACATTTCAACTTGATAGTGATAATGATAGTGATGTGGATCCTTCACTGGAATAATTTTAAAGCCAAGTGATACTTTCTGCCAAATGGATTCAACTTCATGGAAAACACTTGACTTTGCTTGAGGGAGACAAGTTGGCTCTAGAACACCTTTATTATCAATACCTAGAGTCCTCTAAAACTGATATAGTACATGGATTGACTTGCACCTACTCTAGCTCCTGACAGTAGGACAACTGCTTCAAAGATGATATGAAATATTTTATGGAGTACACAGTGACTTGCAAACAAGCCAAGGATATATCAAGGAGACAGCAAGTGCAGGAGCACATCAGGCTGTAAGACTTAGTGAGCCTTAAGACCAATCAATATAAGTAAGAGAGATGTTGGCATTTACCAACGAGAGGCTTGACTAAAGAATTTCACCTATGGGTTTGCTGGATATCTGTTTCTCTGCTATCTGCCAAACAAATTGTATTCCTACCAGCAAGAAGAGATCTCAAAACAACTTTGCCACAACTTTATATATGCTCTATGTTCAACTATTAGAAGAGCTCTCCTCCACTAGGTGAACTGCTGTGTTTATGCTGGCCTTCTAGGTTTATCTCTGGGTGCTATATCCTGACAACCCATTCTGATGGTTCTATTAGACAAAGCCTGGGAGGAAGACACCAGTCAGGGTCAATACTGTTCATGTATGCATGTTGTGACTGCAGCATAGTAAATCCGGTTATCAAACTAAACAACTTCCCCTTTTACCCAAACCTTCTCTCATTTATATTGCATAGACAGCCTATCAGCTGGATCTCCATAGTCTTATTGTGATGACATCTGTGGGCTGGACAAGGAAGGGCAAGGCATATCTGTTCCAGAGTGTTTGCTAGTAGAAGGTCAAGACAAGGAGAAAAAGCAAGGTTTTATGGATGTTGAGTCCTTACTTGTAATTCCTGGCATCATTCCTACCTATTTTTAAGATGTGAGATATAATATATCAGACATTAGGTCTAATCTTAAAGTTGCAATAGATAATTCACACAATCAGCAGAACAGTCACATCATGCTCACTGTTGATTGATTGTCACCACCTGATAAATGTGTGAATGTGTTTTAAGATTACTTTTGATAAACTTGCAGATACTGTCTTTTGATGAATAAAATATTATTTATTGAAATAAAAATAAAGTGCACAACTCTCTACATGTATAACTTTAAGGCTCTGCATCCTCAAAATATGGGCCTGAGGTTTCTCACTGTCCACCAAATCCTGAACCAGATCCCCACTCTTTCACATCAACTCTGCTTTCTTCAGGTTGCTTATCCAGCTCTGATGATGGTATATGTTTGCAAGGAATGAATGTTCACTGACTGTTAAATATTTCAAGACACTTATCACATTTATATCTAGTCTTCAGTTTCTCTTGCTTGAGATATGTGAAAGTTCCATGAACAAACTAGCAAAATGAGGTTAGATTCTGATAGACTGGAGAAACTCATACCTCTGTGATGCTGGCCTCCTCATATTCTCTGGGATCAAAATCAGGAAATGAATACTGAAAATAAGACACTTTGGAGGCAAGCCACTCATTGTGACTAAAATGAGGCAGTTTTATGTATTCTCAGAATTTGTTGACAAATCATCCATAAAGTTGTTTAGAATCTAAAAACTTGATTGGAAAATAAGTATAGATAAACAATAAACTGATGTTGACCCTTACCAATAGCTCTATCATATTTGATTTCAGAATAATATTTTAGCCTCAGATTGGAAAAGACTATGGCAGCATTCAACTGTACAGGAATTCACCAGTGCACAGACTCAGTGCATGCACATTGGCTGCATGGAATGAGGAATGTACTGTTCTTTTCAAGGAATGTTTCCATAAGTTGATTGCATCTTAGACTTGGCTTTGCACAGATGATACTTGGCAGCCATCAAGCTCACCACATTTCCTAATTTCAGCATCTGTGGACCAGCATCAGCATTGAGGCAATCAGAGCACAATTATTCATCTGGGACAAAGCATTGGTATTGAAGGTTACTAGATAAAAATCAGAAGTCAAAAGCATACCATACATCTTGTAAAAACACAAATGGTGCTCCATCCAGCAAGACAGGCCTGCAGAATCCATTAAACATGCAAAATAGTGAATTTCTCTATAAACATTAAAGCAAAAGCCCATGAAAAGAAGATACCATTTCATCTCAATTCTTAACCCCTAACAAAAAAAGATATGTTTTTAACAAAGAAAAGTGACTTTCAATTTGTTTTCATTGTTCTGAGCAATGAACACTTCTTGTTCAGTTTGTTCTAATAGGTTATTCTTTCAGAGAGAGGCCTACAAATAGACAGTGACATGTGGCTGGAGCCTTTGGATGCATGTTGATATGTTGGTACAAGGTCATAATCAACAATATGAATATGTTGGATCTTTAATCCAACGATAATATATATCTTTTGGGGTAGCATCCTCAATCTTGGTGGTCTCACCATGACTGTCTTCATCTTGACATTGGATGGTTTTTTTTTTGGTAGGCCATCTCATAGCATGGTGAAATGGACCAGACACCCTCAGAACAGAGCTGGGCACCTTGTGCACAGAATCACCTCTGGGTCCAATGCAAGGCACCTGGCAGGTTTCTGAATGTGTTCAGCATGCACAGAAGGACAATATCGGCCTCTCAGTTATAACTGAACTCCTTTTTTACAGAGACATTTAGTAGCCTATATGGCATTTGCTGCTGCCAGAATGCTATGGGTACTCTGCTTTACCTGCTCTGAGCATCTGTTCAACCCCAATCCTATAGCCCTTAACTCCACCACCTTCAATAGGCTTTCTGTCTCTCCCCTTTATGTTAATATTGACACCAGCAAATTGTTTTGTGAAGCTGTCAGTTTCAAAAATGATCATTCTCTGAAGAATGACCTTGACAAGCTCAATGACATTCATATTATGCCTCCTTGCAATCCCACCCCTCTGCCACCTCAGCCAACTTTGAGCTCCAGTTTGAAGTGCCCATTAGAATATAGGCCATCTAGTGATGCTGCTGGATTGGACACAGATGCCTCCCCAACTCACACTGACACAAGAAGAGGTGCAAGGCCAGAATAAAAAAGTATGAAGAGGAGAGCCACTGCCCATCCAGTCACACCCTCAATCTCATCTGTGAGATGGTAGAACCTATTTATACCAGTCTCACCACTGAAAGACTCCCAACAGCTAAGGGCACCTATTCCACAGTTAATTTTGTGGGACCAGACACATTAAAGGAATATTTGGCAGATGATCTGTGGGCATTTGGTTTTTCTGAGGTTCTATAGAAGGGTTTGTAAGTCTATCTCCTCTAATTCTTCATCTTGTGCTCAACCCAAGCCTGCAGTGACCTCAGGCCAATTGTTGACAGCAAAGGATGTATTGTGGCAGTCATTGCAGTGATCCAAGCTACTCTGCAGTGTGCATGGAGGTCCATGACAATATTTTGCAGGAGGATCAGGCTGCAAAATTCTGCAAGAACTGTTATGGCCATCGCAGTGGCTTCCTGGCAGTAAACTTTGGCATATCATATGGGAAAGGCCAGAAGATACCTTTCCACCTTCAGAATGGCATTTTGGCTCACATCATCAGCTGCCTTGTCAGAAGTGAGGCAGTCAGGCAAATGACCTCCTATCCAAGCAGTATGTTATTTTGTTTCTCCAGTAACTGCATCTCTAACCTACAGATGAATAGCCTCCTATAACCTCTAGGCACCCTGGCTGCACTAACACTATGAAGAGCACCTCAGTGCACTCTACAAAAAGCTACTACATCTTCATCCCAACTTTTCCAGGTCTATCTTTTCTTGTGCTACCTTCAACTTTGGTGGCAATGTCTGGACCTTCAAGCACTGTGACATCTTGAACTGCCTTTATGGATGGTGCACTATCACAGCCTTAGGCCACTTTGACCATTATTGAGAGGCACATCTCATACTTTGGGAACTCAAGCTCTTTATTCAATTTCCACATAGGGCTACTGTTTTCATTCCCTCAGCCACCATCACTCATTCCAATTACCTTCTGGCTGAAGAGGACAGCAGGATATCTTTTACACAGTTTTTGGCTGATGGCATTCTACAGTGGGTAGATAATGACTTTCACACAGAGAAGGAGATGGCTAGGCAGGATCCAGCTATGTATGCAGAGATGTAGAAGCACAAGGCAGTGTGCTGAGAGATGAGACTGAGACTATTATCTATATTGGATGAAATATTAGAACCAATAGCTCTGTAGTGTAGGCATAGAATGTTATATAAATGAAAGAACAACAATAAGTTGCAAGTATTAATCATGGTGTGCACCTAATCAGCAGAAATATATACAAACAAAGATCAAAAATTTGATGAATCTGTTTGTTATTCTTTTCAAGTTCTTCCACCAGCATCTGCAACACAACTCAGCCATGTTTAAGAAATTCTAAGGTACAGTTTTCTGATATAGTACAATCACATCAACCTATAACAATTCTCAGGGTTCCTTCTCCTACCCTGCAAACAAAGCTGGCAAGACTATCTCATCATAAAAAACATATCTGCAATTCAAATAACCTCTGGCTATAGCAACTGCATTCACCCATTCCAAAGTCATGTATGTGATGGAATAGATGTCAATGTTGCATTTTAAGATCCTTTGAAATGTAAACTTGTGTTGCAATTGCCTCTGGAGCCAGGATTTGACATGATGTGTTACATTCAAGATACAGTAGAACAATATGACATATCAGGTGCAAAGATATCTATTGTGCTGGTTCTTCAGTCACCATCTTGCATCAGTCATGCATTTCCTATGGTATTCATAGGTGTAGTATCGCAGAGACTCTCAGACCTGGAGCATACAGCATTTGATGTTGGACAAGAGATTTGCTTAAGTCTTCATGATGCACAGCTCACAATTTTTGACAAGAAATATACCCATAGCCAACAAAAAATAATGATAGATGTCATCATGTAGCCTTTACTATCACCTGCTTCCAAAAGATCAAAATGAAGCCATGTGTGTGGAAGTGGGTGATGTAGTTGTTCTCTACCATATTAAGGTCAGCCAGAGAACTCTTTGCCAACACATTAATCAAACATGGGCATTACAGCTAATCTTTTATAAAACCTGCCATGGAGTGGAGTATCATGACACATTACAATACAGCACTTATCAGTCAACAATGGCCAAATGCTATTTGAAATTAATCAATTCTAAACAACAGTATAACCTGCAAAAAGATGAGATAAACTACTGTCAGAACATGATATGCTGATGGAAGACAATCCACACAGTACCAACCAACATATGTGGCAAGTACTTTGATTGTACCATTGAGGTCAGTGCATCACATACCAGAAGAACTAAACAAATGTTGATCATAATAGGTCTTACGCATCGAATCTAAAGATCACAATCTCCAGATATGGGTTACTGACTACACTGTTAGACCTGATAGCATCATTCTCTCTTTGAAATAGTGCCCTCAGGTCTTGCACAAGTCAGCCATATCACTGGAACTTTGGGATGAAGCTCATGAACAAGAAAGCACTATGTAAGTAGGAGGATTTTACAGGCTGAGAAACATACTCTGGCAGACAGACAAGATGGGCAATGCAGAGGGCAAGATGAATGAGACTCAGATTGAACAATTTGATCCTTCATCAAAGAATGAAAGTCTTGTTGTGATGAAAAAGTATGCCACATATCTCTCAGGGGCCTTTTCTCACCCATTCCAGTCAATGGCAGGCTAGTTTTGAAAGAGAGATGGACAGCATTGATGAGTTCTGTCTCACCTGTTTTTCTGACATCACCCTGAACAAGATGTTTAACTGTGTTATGAAGGTGACATTACAATCTGTACTCCAAAGACTAATGGCCAAACTCATGCACCAACTACAACAGCTCATTGCAACTAGAATTATCAAAAATATACCCACTCTACTTCTTACAGACTATACCAAAGGAAAACACCTAGAAGACTGCTGGAGAAGGAGGCCTCCAATGTATCTCTTCAATCAAATACTTGCCATACAACTTTATGATGAACAGGTTCAGCTCATCCATGATATACAGAAGGGCACAATCCTTGTTGTAAGAGGCCTCAAACTTTATCGAGTATTTTATGAAAAGTACATTGTAAAGCTCCAAGGTGGCTGTCAAAATGTGTACATCCTCAATCATATAAGCAGAGACTATCAGGAGCAAAGACACCTTATAGAATGGTAAGATCCATCCTAGAATAATTCTATATATGCTGAATAATCCACATATTAGCATAGAGGTGGCATACCTGGTGTATTTAGAGATAGTGTACCAGTCAACTTTAAAGCCATAGCGTAAAGGCCAGAAAAAATAATTTCCAGAGACATCACTTCTATCCATGCACTGTCAATACATAAATACTCATTGATCATATTATTCTAGTTGCAGTGAAATCAAAAAACCAGGACTGTTCACCTTACAATGTTCTCAATCTCAGATTCTCCATCACAACAAATAAAACATATCTTCACCAACTGAACATAGACAAGGCACATGGACACATTATAAACTGGTACAATGATATGCCAATGTCTGCCTGGGAGCTCATTGAAAAAAGCCCTAGAAAATATAAAAAAGTCAGTCCACTCCCTATATATTATCTCAACCATCTATTAAATGTAAACCCAGTTTACAAGGGTGCAAAATATGTTATCAGTTTATACTACCTTGACAGCAGGGTGAGTGAGGAGTCAGTGAATGAGATTTACTTTTTTATAATCTTTGATTATGCTAAGCAGATTTCTCCTCATGGCACCTTCAAGTTCTAAATACTACAACCCTGAGAAGGACCTGCTGAGTACTATTGATGTTCTCTTCCATAGTATTTGTTAAATATCATCACATGTTGGCTGCTACTCACAGTTTATAGCACTTAAGGGAGGGTATAACAATGATGATTATTATCAACTACAAGCACTCTGTACAGCACTTGAGAGACCAATGTTACAGAAAGTGGCTAGGATCAATGACACACTGCACTTCTAAGGGATCACCTTTATGATAAACAAGATGCTTACTTGCATCCTTGAACAGACCTATTCTTGGCACATTCTTGCCATAGCCATGAAGCTTCAGAAATATTGCCCATTCAGCAGTGAAATGTATGGGGAACTGCTTTCCAACTTCATCTGGTGAGTTGCTACAATTTATAACATCAACTCCTCTTTCTTCATAATCGATCTTGGCTGTGGAATGGGAAATGTCCTCTCACAGCTAAGGATGGCATATAGCTGCTGCACCTATGGCATTGAGATGCAAGACAAATGCATCAAAGCTGTGAAATTGATGATATGTGAAGCAGGGTATTGTATCAATTTCTGGAGGGCACTGATGGTTGTCAATTCTATCACAATTGAATATGGAAACATGCTTGAGAATCCTAACCTCTGGCAGCTCATTTCAGATGCCAATGTGGTATTTGTTAATAACTTGATGTTCAAAGCCACACGTAAGTCATTATCTGTTATCAGGATAAAAGAAATAATGTTCCCATAGTCATACTGTCCATTACCAAGCTCTTTGAGGTGGTGAACATGAAGGAAGGTGCAAAAATCTTCAGCATGAAAGCTCTATCTTTGCAATGAATTAATCAGGACAACATAACTGAGTAGGACATAAGCATGTTTCTGTTATACTTCTCTCCTGTGCTCAGTATTATTTCATCAGCTTGAAGGACTGATGCATGAATTTAGGCAAGAAATATATGTCTATCCTAAAGATAGTGTATCATGGTCATCAAGCAAAGGAATATTTCATATTCTCACAAAAGACAGTCTTAGGTATGCCCAGAAATATGCTGCATGCATTAGAGAAGGAAAGAAATTACAGCAGAAAGGAAAGCAGATGTGATGTGATGGACATGAAATAAAGAGCATGTTTTCTGCTAAACAGGTTGAACTTCTATGACCATTTGACCAAGGATACCATGAGGCATTGATTCAGGAGGCAGAAAAACCCAGACATCACTTTCAACATGAATTTTCCATACAAGTCCTTCAATATTGATGACAATTGTTTTTCTCATTCCACTACAAATGTTTCAAAGGACATTGAGTCAGCTACACTCTAAAGACCAAAGGAGAATGTGCAGCAGAACATTTAGAGCTACTGAGAGTAGGCATTTCCTATAAACTACATCAAAACAAGCTAATATTAATGTCTCAGATGCTGCAAATAGGCCTTGCATGAGCATCTTCCATCTGGGCAGATGAGAATCTTTGAATGTGGCAAATGTCTCAGTGAAATTGGATACTATTTGCTTACACTATGCTTAGAAGTGAACTAGAATTGTAAAAGATTACATTAAAATAATATGCCTCATTAATTGTATCTACTTAAGCTTGAAACATCAGATGCTTTCTATCAGAGCATATTCCAAGATGCTATGGTGGGTATTCATTTTGAAGCTCTGAATTTTGCCATGTCTATTGCCCTGTTTTAGATTACCTCACTGCTGGAGATTGCCCATCCACACAGTGGTATGAGACCAATTTTCTTGTCCTTCATTTTCGGTAATCTCCTTTCCAGACATTGAACCCTAGTCATGGTCCCACACCAATTATCATGCTTCACTTTAGTTTCAAGCCAGGGTTTCAGGTGAGAACAAGATATCACATGTGAGTCCAAAATCTATGGGGCATGTCAATAGATAAAGTTAAAAAAATATAGTCTGCCTATGATGCATTGATTAAGGTGTCAGGGGGATTCAAAGAAGAAACTTTTTATTTTTCACAGTTGGGTATTTAACCCACCAGCAGTGCAATATTTCACTTCTGACCAACAGAACCATTTAAGATCCAGGTATTGATTTTAGGTTTGGTGCATTGATTGGTGTAATGTGGTGTACAAGACTGAACTGGATTGGAATTTTGATTTGTCATCAGTTTGAATACCAATTGAAGCACTTTTTTTTGAAACAAAATTTTCTACAACAAAAAAGCATTACCATGTCTCTTCTTATCCAATCTATCTAAGCCAATACTATATGATATGTCAAAAAGTATATATCATCAAAAAAAGCAAAACAAGAAGAGAGACATACTTTGTTTGAGCCAAGAATCTTCGTCACAGTTGCATGCAGACCATTCACTCACATCTTTTTGAGATGGATTGCTGACATGAAAGATCTTCAGATCATCAGCTGGTAGACAACTAGCTTGCATTTTGGCCATCTATAGAGTGTCTCTTCATTCAGTTATGGCATCAGAAGGGTAAGTGAAATTAGATGATGTCCACTTACTTTCATATTTGTTACATTTTTCTGGTTTTTCCTTCAAGGCACCAGAGACTGTTTTCCCATGCTCAAGAAACATGAGGAGATTCATCTTGTTGATCACCTCTTCTTGAGTGGCCACCTTCTTTGTGTGGCAATGGTTCAGCTCCCTCTTAGGCTTGGGCTCAGGAATAGGGTCCTGTGACATGTTAATAGCTATAAGGTGGTGTGATGCTTTGAGTTTTTTGGCTCTCACCTGTAAAAAAAAGAAAAGTGAGCAATATACATTGCAGAGAAAGTGCTATAAATGGCCTTACATCTGCTTCACATTTAAACTGTTCATTGCACTCCATCTGCCTTTGTTTCACCTTCTCTAATGCTCTTGCCATCTCTTCCTTGTGCACCACTCTCTCCACTGCTAACTTAGCCTTCCTAGCATTCACCACAGTTCCAGATATTGTCTTGTATGTGTGGGTTGATTTTTTCCCAATGGCCATGGTGGTAGAGTGGAAAAAAAGGCAAATAGTAACATGAAGTGAACATCATATGATTTCAGTGGAAGCTATCAAAATGAGGCAATTAGTTATACTAGTGTCTGGCTGTTTGGTGTAATGGTAACTTGTCTCTGAAGTATAGGCACACTTATTAAGGCTTAGAGTTTGAGCCCTTTTGGGTGCAAATTCTTTGCCAGAGTCCACTCAGTACACTGTATTTACAACCTAGCGAAAAGTGCCTCGAAAGAGATCGAAGACAATCAATTAGATGTATCTACTTCGATGTGCCTTGACCATTCTGCCATTTGTATCGCTTCTTTGTAATCACATCGAAGGATTTATAAGTAGTTCAAATGAATATATTTTGCTTCGACTGGCATATATGGTCCCAAATTTCTTTGACCCAGAATATATCAAATCATATCGAAGGAGAAAAATTACATATCATTTTGAGCTATCTAAGTACATCTAATGTTGTCTATGTAATACCCCGAGGCACTATATATGTCATACAGCCGCCGCCTAGATAGTGTAGTAGTCAACAAAAGTTGTCTGAATTTAATTTATAGGCTAATATACACCTGTTCTTTAGCTGCTTTTGCTGCCGCTGATGCATCAACCTATTTCTATACAATGCAGAGATGAGATCAGGAAGTCCCAGCATTTAGTAAAGCACTTACTCGGTATTCTGCTGATTGCAACATCGTAAGGGACTTCCAGTATGGCTGGAACTCGGTTTTCCAGTTGCCAGCAGAGTTCTGCTTCATCCAATCTTCTTTGCATAGTGCTCTGTTGAATGCATAAATATAGATAAATGACATTGCTGCAAAGAACATACCGTGCTGTTGGCCCATCTGATTTTTTCTTCCTGAGTGCCTGTGAGTCCAATGTGTCAGTTCCAGGATTTGCAACAGGTTCCATTGGCATTACTGATGGTGGACAAGGCGGTTCCTGAAATGGCTTGGAGCTTTGAGACTCGGAGTTGCGATGACAGTATCTAAGGTGTGCAATACCAATGTTAGCATCACCATCTCTGAGCATGTAGAACTGAATGCTTACAAAGGATTTATGTGCTGAAGGAAGTAAACAAGTCTATGATATCAGTAGCTGCAATACATTTAACAGTTTTGTCCTAACATATCAGCATTGTCTTCAAGGATGCCATATTGATGACTGAGGAACTAGGCAGCTCAGGCCCAGATTCCTGTGGGTCATAGCCATCGAGATCCGAGTTAGTGCTATTAGTTTGTTCTGGTGGGGGATAGTCATTGAGATCCGAGTTTGGTTGGTTAGTGTCCTCGTTCGTAGAATCGGGCTTGGGATTTTCATTGACAGGTCTATGCGGGTGTACTGACAGCTCAGTCGATGGTTGCGGTGATAGTTGCCAGATTGTGCCTGGGTTTAATTGTGGTGTTGAAGGCTCCTTGCAGTGTTGGTACCTAGAAGAAAGATCTCCCTGAAATCAAAGCTAAGCAAACGAGAGTCAGAAAACAGATTACTTGAACATGGTGCACCTGAGATCCATGGCAATCCTCAACATCATCAAGTTCCATACTCAGACGTTCGCCATCATGGTGGGTGGAAGACTCAGTCCGAACTCTCTTCAGAGCTGATTCAAGTGCACTTTCTTCACGATCTGCCAGTGAGATGACATGTTTTCCGATATTCTTTGAAGAATGGTGGTGGTGTCCATGTGCAGAATGATCCTGTCCTGAGCGACTAGTAGCCTTCTGCTTCTTGAGGGCTTTGCTATGCCATTGTGAGTAGTTGTTTGTAGCAATCCACAGCACTTTCCAGTGACCTTCGCAGAATGAGAGCTCTGAGAAACTCTGATACATATGATGCAGGAAATAGCTTTTTGCCAAGGTACTGAGGTCACCCCAAACAGCTGGTGCTAGATCTCTCTGTTGCAGCTCATTCCAGATTTTGCATGCTTTGCTATGAATTGTGGAAGCCCGATGTCCATCGATTATGTTGCCATTGATGTCACAGATATATCGCATAGCCACATTGATACCTTGGCTGGCATGAACATTGCCTTTGGTCTTCAGACAAAGTGCCGCAGCAGTCTTGGGATCATCCTCGTTAATGTCCGTGTTGTCCTCGTCACTGCTTTCTGAATTGACTTCGACATGAGTTTCGCCTTTTCATTTGACCATGTGTGTCTTCCAGTCAGAGATAAACCAAAACTTGACATGCTTGTAGCGAGGATCTTTATGGTCCAGTTGGCTAGGTTCGGGGTATGGATCACCAGTGCTGTTTGCTGGTTGACTTGTAGCTCCTTGTTCACTGGTGGTACCATTAGAGACGTGTGATTTGACGATTTGAAGAAGCTGAGTATATGCATATCTGATCAAGATTGTATTAAGAGATATGAAGGGAAAACATTCAATGTGGTATGTACTTCAGACTTCTATTTGTTGCACTTGCTTCATGAAGTTGCAGAGTAGTCTTGTTTAACCGCATCTTCAACTGCTCAATCTGAAACTGCAGCGATGTGCTACTGTTGTATTGGGGCATGTCGGGGCTCGACCATGCATTTATCTGGCTGTTAGTTACTGGGTTTGTTGTATGAAGGATTGAATTTGAGCTGGTGGCAATATTTGCAGTGGCAGGGTGATGGCTTGGCTGATAGGGAGTCCAGTCTGAACTGTTGTCATAGAAATCACTGTCTGAGCTTGAGCTTGGAAAACGTGGTAGCTTCAATGTGTAATTTGAGGATACTGATGGCGTCCGTGAAGAATGGCTAGAGAAACTCTGTGGAACATCATAGTTGTCAAAAGCCGAGTCCGATGACATCACATTCTGTGACAGGTAGAGATTTCCCGACGACATTGCTGGTGTGTGAAAGGAGAAGTGATTGTGTGATAAAGGAGGCCCAACTGAGGAAAGAGAGATGAAAAGAGAGAGAGGCAGTGCTTCTGATGCATTTGACACATGATTTATATTGCTTGCATGTTCAGCCAAAATACTATGAACTTGTATTTCTACACATTCTGCTCTTCTTCATTTATATCATCTGCCCACCCTTCCATAGATGCCAGCTTGACATTTGGCCACTCCATCAAGTACCACTGATTTGTCTCTGTCCTATCTTGATAAAATAATCCATAATGTTGGTCTGGAGCCATCATTACAACAGATTCGATATCATGCACATCGATGGCATGAACAGAAAGATCTCCTTGATGGTGGAATGTAGCATACTGACCATGTGATCACCTTATAAGCTCTGCATTTGGCATTGAAAATAAGGAGACTATGGCAACGGCCTTCGTGGTGCCCTGCTTTCCAAGAGTTAGCTGGGTATAATATCGCACTTCACCAAAGCGACTCTGGCCATTCATGTAAATCTGGATATGAATTGTTTGTTAGAACTTCCTCAAGATTTAAATCTGATCAATATACCTTTACATGTCTTGAGGATCGCAAATGGCTCAAAGGTTTGCGTGCTTCAATCCATAGTGAGCAGGCATTTTGTCCAGTGGGAAGGTGAAGTCTTGCCCATCGGTGTACCTGAGGACACTGCCATTCTGCTGCCAATCTGTATCCAAGTCCCTGCAGGTATGATTTGATGGTGTGTTGTTCACATTCAAGGATATCACGTCGGACATTATCAACTCGTGGGAGAAGAACATAACCTCCACCAAGATCTAGTGCATTTCATGAGATACTATTCTTCAAAGTGTCATAATCCAGCTCAGAATGCATCACCTTAAGCGCATTGACACAGCAGCGATGGAGAGCACGCTCACTGAGATTGGCAAATGGAGTGGAATGTTGATGGACCTCCTCAGTTAGATTACCAATAGTTCGTTCTATTGGCCACTGTGAATATATGATAGGAGGTCCATTTCTTGTTGTTCCTTGTAGTAGATGACTAGGGGAATGTTTGCTTTGGCAGCCAAAATGTATACGATCCATACGTCACTGAATATAGATTCTTTCAAAGTCATCAGATACCTCCGTGAATAGGGTGTCAGCTTCAGTAAGTTCATCTGGTTGTATCTTGTCTTGTAGCATGATTCGCCAAGCATGGACATTTTTACAGTGGTGTTCCCAGATATCGTTAGGAAGAATGCCATAGAGAAGTGCAGGAGAAAGGCCAAAAAAGTAGAGCAAATATTCCCAAGCTTTATATCCACTTGAAATCTTTTCTGCTGGATTTCCTGTGGGATGATTAAAAGAACCTGGAATCCAAGGTGTAGCTGCAGCAACCAGCTTACCATGTTCCTTCCACACATTCCCTTTCAGCACAGCCCAATACCATGAACTTTGATCATCCGTGGTGGTGTCGCATTCAAATGTTCCATGCCAAAGTGGTAGATAGAGATCTGTCTGGTTAAGGCAGGAAAGGTGCATTATATCACCGGGAAAGCAAGTTGGCATAGGGAGCATGTGATCCTGTGGAAGACCCAAGAAAATATTAGGCTTTGAGATACCAGTTTCAAGGTGACATGCCTCATACTGAGTTCTATTTGGTGAGGCAATGACCCAGGCAAGATTTTGTTTGTATCAGAGCTTGCAAGATGAAGCATCGAATGTTGAAAGTAGATTCCACAAATCAACATCATCATGAGAGCATCCAGGGACATCAAAATTATCAGGTTTGTAACACACAGCATAGTAGTGTGTTTCACCAGACTTATGCCTGCCTTTGAGAGGGCAAAAGTAACGACAACCATACTTGCCATGGTGCTCCACACAACCACTCAGAGAGGCTTGGGCTGGCCCATCTGTGGTAACAAGTGCCAAAAATGGGTTCGAAGTAAAACATGCATCAGATGGAGAAGGAGAAACTTCATATGCTAAACCCGCTTTGCTCGAGTCCCAGATAACAAGTCTCTCTTTCTGAATGATGGCAAGATGGTGCAAGCCTGGAAACATGAAGCTGTCGATGTTTTTGGGTTTATTGGGCCCCGGAATAACACCACCTGGCAGAACACTCTTCTTCTTGTATCGCACACTTGGATCTCTGTCTAATATGATCCAGATGTAGATCCATGTGTCTGAAATCTTGTTTCGATACAGTTGTGCTCCATCGATTGAGAGAATGAGTACTGCATCACCCAATTTAATTTTTTGATCAAGAATGGCCTCGAGATAATCTGTTCCATCAAAGAAATCCCGGTATGCAGATATTTTCTCCCCCCCAGTACGTTGAAGCTCTTGGAGGATGATCTGCATGCACTGTTCTCAATATTTCATGCTTTGCACACCCTCAGGACTTTGCCAGATTGCCTGTAACTGTGGACCAATGGGCATCATATGGAACTGTTGGCATGGTATAGATGAGTTTTCCAATGTATAGCGAGGCTCAGCACAATAGGGATAGCATTGGAGCATCTTGAAAGGTCCGGTATATGCAGCGCAGGAATTTACGCACATGTCAGTACTGATTGGTACAATGCCACTCAATAATTCAACCAGTCACTTCACTTGGTAGAATGAGAGAAGCTCAACATCAGGGAAACACCACTGAATTGAATTGCATACAGAAGTATATGCATGTTCAGAGGCATTATATACAGAGAGAAAGATGTCGAGTGAAAGACAATGATACGGATCATCAATGGATGATTGCAGACCATGTGGGCTCGAGAGGGGTATGTGGCTTGTCGCTAGGCAAGTGTGCTTGGTTAGGTGGAGTTTAGGAGGTTTCTGGCACCTGGGATCCATGAATTGGAGGTTCCTCAGATTCAGGTTCATCTGCGTCAAGATCATCTAGACATCCAGGATCACAAAAATTGTCATTGTCATCAAGTTCTTTAGTATCCCTTAGTCCATTGAATCCAGCAGGCATGGGAGCTGCAATGTTCTCATCAAGTTCCATCTAATCATCAAAATCGATAACTGTATTGGAGGTGGACCATACAGGAGAATGTGAATGAAGGGTAGGAATCTAAGAGAAAATCAGCACTTCAAGTTATAGCCCTAGAGTAACTACTCACCTCATTGTAGCTTTCACTATCAACTAGAGCCACCTCACTATTATAATTACCACCTTGCGAGGTCTCCCATCCTGCCTCGGCCAGCCGACCATGCTTGGCTTTATGAATGTCCAACTCATCGTGAACATTAGCAGAATTGCTGGATACATGTAATCGTTTTTGGGCAGCGTAACATCAACTTGAAGTGGCAGTGTTGCTCAGATTGTCATTCCCAAGTTGCTTGTCCAAATTTTGGTGATCTCTCCAGGTTCGAGGTGTGATAAGTTTGCCAAGAGCACTCTCGGCAACATAGTTATGGGATTTGCATTGGCAGTAGACTCTATTCTTGGTTTTATGTGGAGGTGGCATCACAAGAATTGTGTTTCTGAATGCAGCAGAGAGCTGTGGAAAGTATTACTTCGCTAAGAGGAAGACGAAGATGTGGACACCAAAAAGCCAGAATAGAAATTTTTGATGCAAGAGCCAGCCTGCAGCGGCACCAAGTCATGAGAAATTTCCAGTGTAGAAAAAAAATCATTGTAAAGATGGTCACAAGAATAAGTGGTCAAAGTAGTCAAAGAACAACATTAAATTACATCTCTACTGTTTTGCTTTGAGCTGCTTCTATTTGGCTGCACCACATTGATATAAATTGATGTCAATGCATCTCCTTTGAGGCACATTTCGCTGGGCTTACAACCCCATCCTGAGTTATTGTATGGAAGAAAAAAAGAGCAGCAATGTCATGCTCTATGTTCCTCTTAAAGGGATGGGGGTTTTTGCTCTAATTTATTTTGGCCAACAGTCATGTAACTTTTGACATGCTTTTTCTACCACTTCTCAATATTCCCATTGAAAAGTTGGTTGAGCCATACTGAGCCAAATCAAGCCCAGAGAGAAGAAATGAAGGGGCTCCATTCTGCTCACTGTGACTTCAAAATCTGAACTATTTAATAGCTCAAACTGAGCTATTTTGAGCTTAGTATGTTGGTATCATGGGTTTCCACTAGGCTTCTTAGGGCTCAAATTTATTACTATTATTATTTTATACTATTAATACATATAAAATCAGATTATTCGAATCATTACTATGCCAAGTAGCAGCTTTGGTCTGCACCATCTTTTCCATTGCACTCATGGCCACAATAGATGTGCTAAAATAGACAGCCTTAATAAATGTTAAATCAGTACATAATGACACAAAGCCAATTTTTCAGAGATATTCATGAGATAGAAGCTAGCTGAAATAACAGCAAGCATAACTGGTATTTAATATGATCAGAAATGTAGGCATATGTGGAACAGAACATATTATGACCACACCTAAGTGTCTAGATAGTATATAGAATGACTGTAAACATTTTAAATATCCAAAAAAAATAACATATAAAAGCATAATAAGATGTACCTCAGAGGTATCTGAATATCCTATTACTGAGACAACATTTCTGAAGACACATTACTGCTGAAAGTGTGCTAACTAGGAGCATATATTCACCTTTAATAGAAATTTGAGTCTGTAGTGTCATATATGCTAGGTATTATATCAGTTCTCCAGTGAAAGGTCAACAGCAGGAGGATTTAACAGCAAGCATGAAGCTATATTCTGTGATAATAAAGGATCTGAATGCAGAGCAATAACAAAAATAGTGAATAGGCTAGATGGTGATAGGAATGGTGGTAGTAGAAGAGAAAGAAGCTTTTAATTAAGTAGTGGTCAACATGCAGGTGGTTGGATCCATTTGACTTGACTTAAAGTTGTTGCCAAGGCTCAATTTGCACTCACTAAGTTTGGTGTATTTCAGTTAACCATTGGATTCTGAGAAATTCCATTGGTATTCTTGGATGTACTGAGTGGAAGATGTTGTTGGTTTGGAGTTCAAAGCTTTCTTATATAGGTCGCTT